CATCAGAAGAATTTTCCCAAGTGTCGTCTTCGGTCCTATAACCCTTCCATCTGATAAGATACTGTAAGGAACCCCTATGATGTCTTGAGTCAATAATTTTATCTATTTCATATTCCTCTTCACCCTGCACTATGATGGGGTCAGGTTTAGACAGTTGTTCTCTATGGAATGGATCCAGGAGAAAAGGCTTAAGAAGGGAAACATGAAAAACGGGATGAAGTTTAAGCAAAGGAGGGAGTTTCAACTTCATAGCGCTTTCGTTAATAATGGATTCAATCTCAAAAGGACCAAGAAAGAGAGGACTCCTTTTTTTGAAGGATGGGTTGTAGAAATATTCTTTGAAGACAGCCAAACAGTATCACCGACTTTATATTTAGGAGGAGCTCTCCTCTTAGTATCATAATTCCTTTTATGCAAGACCATAGAATTTTCAAGGTTCTTTTTTAATTGTTTAAACAATGAAGACATTTCCGTATTTTGAATGGAAACTATCGGGTTAGAAGTTAACTTGGGTTCATGAGGAAACAGAGACGGATGGAATCCATAATTTGAGAAAAATGGGGTCATCTTGCTGCTTGAGTGTATGGAATTATTGTAGGCAAACTCAGCCATAGGCAACCAATTAAACCAATCATCTTGTAAATATGTACAATAACAACGAAGGTATTGTTCTAAACATTGATTGACTCGTTCTGTTTCACCATTGGTTTGAGGATGGTATGCAGAAGAGAGCTTACGTTTGATTTGAAGAGAGGAACACATCTCCTTCCAGAATCGTGAAGTGAATTGGGTACCTCTGTCAGAGATGATTTCTTCAGGGAATCCATGTAATTTGATTATATTATCTAAGAAGATTTTGGGAAGTTCGGACGATGTAGGTAACTTTTTCAAGGGAATGAAATGTGACATTTTCGTAAAACAGTCGACAAAGACAAGTATGGTGGTGTATTTTTGTGAAGGAGGGAGTTCCACCATGAAATCCATAGAAATAGATTGCCATGGTCTCACAGGAACTGGTAAACCCGTCAATAACCCGTATAGAAGGTGATGTTCAATTTTGGATCTCTGACATACAGAACAAGGTTTTGTCTTGACGGGGCCACCAGTATTGTCTAGTTGAGAGTTCCAATGTCTTTTTAATACCAGGATGTCCTGCAAGTGGAGAGTCATGAATTAATTTTAGAAGTTTGTTCCTGTCACATATTCATCCGCTTATAGAAATGTGATTAATGACATTTACTGTCCACACAGGAAAAGTTGTGCCGAGCAGCAACCTAATCCACAGAAGGGTTAATGCTGAGCAGTAATTGTGCAAATGAAACCTGGTGTAATGTATTCATCCGCTTAGAGAAAAGTGATTAATGACATTTACTGTCCACACAGGAAAAGTTGTGCCGAACAGCAACCTAATCCACAGAAGGGTTAATGCTGAGCAGCAATTATGCAAATGAAACCTGGTAACTGACTTTGGGGTCAAAGGCCGGTTACAGCCTATCAGAACTAAAGGAGGGGTATTTAGGCCCAGTTCTCAGCCTGCTCAGTGCCCTGTCGTGATTTCCCTTGTGGTTGTCTGAGAGCGCGTTCCTGTTTATAGTTTTCTACCCGGTTTTTGACTTTGGCTTTGTTTATTGACTTCTCTATATTCTGGTATCCTGACTCCTGGCTTTCCTCATCGCTGTGTCCCTTTCTGTGTTCCCTGACCTTGGCTAGTATTTTTTACTATTCTTTGTACGTTAAATCCGGCCATTCTAAGGACCGGTAATACGTTACTTATTTGTCATCCGTGCTGTACAGTTCTACGCGCTGGATCAAACAGTAATCCTGACATTACGACATGGCCATAGATCCTGTAGAACTGTGTCAGCACATAGCTGCTTGCGAGAGGAAATTAGAGGAGAATGATCACCGCATGGATCAATTCACTCAGGCTTTAAGTACGCTTCTCGCTAGAACGGAGCATCTGCAGCCTGCAGCGTCTCCTCCTATAGCACCTCTACCCTGCGTACCTCCACCCACTGTTAATAGGACTCCTTGCATCTCCTTATCACCATCCCTACAGTTTGATGGCAATATCCAGGAATGCAGGGGTTTTCTTAATCAGGTGGAGTACCATTTTGAGGCCTCACCAGGGTCATTCCCCATGGACAGAGTAAGAATTGGTTATCTAATGAATCAATTAAAGGGCAAGGCCCTTGCCTGGGCTAATCCGTTGTGGGAGAGTAATCGGAGCATAGCTCATAATTACCAGGAATTCCTTGCCGAATTCAAGCTCACATTTGAGCCATTGGGTAGAGAGGATGACGCCTCCACTGCCCTAATGCACATCAGACAAGATAACCGGTCTATCTCGGATTATGCTATTGAATTCCGTACCTTAGCTTCCGAGGTAGATTGGACTAACAATGGGTTAATCTCAGCATTCAAAAAGGGTCTCTCAGAGACTATACTAGATGAGATAGCCGCTAAAGAATTACCCAAGAGTCTTAACGAATTTATTACGTTTGCCATGCATATTGATAATAGGTTAAGACTCAGAGAAGTCACCAGAAGCAAGACCAGATGTACGGCTATGTCCCTACCACCTCAATTCTCTAAACCTGTTTTGTCTAACCTCCCTGTACAGTCCGAACCCGAACCTATGCAGTTGGGGGTCACTAGACTGTCAGAGGCCGAAAAACAGTATAGGAGAAGGGAGGGTTTATGCCTATATTGCGGTAGAAAGGGACATATGATAACTAATTGTCCAGTGCGTCCGGAAAACTTCCGCACCTAAGAACCTTAAGGGGACAGATCTTAGGTGTGATGGAGTTGTCCTCTAACAAAAACAAAAGTAGATTCTTCCTTGAGGTATCTATTTCCCTTGATAACAAGAAGTTTTCTTGCAGTGCCCTAATGGACTCAGGTGCTGCTGGAAATTTTACTGATGTCCAGTTTATTAGGGGTAATGAGATACCGGTCAGGGAGAGACCTACGCCGCTAGCTGTAGAGGCTATTGATGGTAGACCACTCACACAACCGCTTATAACCCACAAAACTGTCCCTATTACGATCTCTATTTGGGCCTCCCATAGGGAGGAGATGACATTTCAGGTTATTACTTCATCATGTCCTATCATATTAGGGTTTCCTTGGGTGAGTAAGCACAATCCCTATATTGACTGGGCTAATGGGGAGATATTAGAATGGGGTAAAGAGTGTATGGGGAGATGTATAAAACCAGTACTAAAGAGATTGGATACTATTGACCTTCCCACTACCACTCCCCAAACTCCCGGAGTTCCCATACAATACCAAGAACTTCAGGAGGTGTTTAACAAGGCTCAATCCGATGTATTGCCTCCCCACAGAGCATATGACTGTGCCATTAACCTGTTTCCAGGCGCTATGCCACCTAAGGGGGCAGTTTATGCCTTATCTCCCCAGGAAAGTAAAATAATGGAGGAATACATCAAAAAATCCTTGAGCAAAGGGCACATAAGAAAGTCATCCTCACCAGCTGGTGCAGGATTCTTTTTTGTTGAGAAAAAGGGTGGTGAGTTACGCCCTTGCATAGACTACAGGGCACTTAATAAAATCACTATAAAAAATGCATACCCTATTCCACTCATTTCCGAATTGTTCGATAGACTTCAGGGAGCTAACGTATTTACTAAGCTTGACCTTAGGAGCGCTTACAATTTGGTTAGAATTAAAGAGAATCATGAGTGGAAGATGGCATTTAATACCCGTAGTGGACACTATGAATATCTGGTAATGCCATTTGGGTTATGCAACGCCCCGGCCGTATTCCAAGACTTTATAAATTATGTACTCAGGGAATTCATTTACTCATTTGTTTTGGTTTATTTGGACGATATTTTGGTGTATTCCCCTGATCTTCAAACTCACCACTCCCATGTGAAACAGGTTCTGCAGACGTTGTTGAAAAATAAACTTTATTGTAAATTAGAAAAGTGCATATTTGACCAGCCTGAAGTCCACTTTTGGGTTACAACATCTCTGCATCGGGATTTCAAATGGATCCTAAAAAACTAGAGGCTGTACTACACTGGCCATTACCCTCTGGTTTAAAAGCCATTCAAAGGTTTATTGGTTTTGCCAGCTATTACAGAAGATTCATCAAGGGATTTTCTTCTGTAATAGCCCCAATCACAAATATGACTCGCAAAGGGGTTAGTAGCACGGTATGGTCCAAAGAGGCTGTGAATGCTTTTGAGACTCTTAAACAAAGATTTGCCTCTGTGGACATACTAAAACATCCTGACACCAGTAAACCTTTTATATTGGAGGTTGATGCATCCGAGACAGGGGTAGGGGCTGTTCTCTCTCAGAGAGAAAGCCAGGGAACACCATTGCATCCTTGTGGCTACTTCTCCAGAAAGATGTCTCCTGCTGAGTGCAACTATGATATTGGCAATAGAGAACTGTTGGCCATTATTCTTACCCTCAAGGAGTGGCGACATCTTTTGGAGGGTTCCAAGGACCCCCTGTTGATCATAACCGACCACAAAAATCTGGCATATATAGGGGATGCCAAACGTTTGTCTTTCAGACAGGCTAGATGGTCACTGTTCCTTTCACGTTTTAACTTTCTCATTACTTATAGACCTGGTTCTAAAAATACCAAGGCTGATGCCTTGTCCAGGCAATTTGATAATGAGTCAGCTCCGGAACAGGTGACATCTCATATTATTCCACCAGAGTGTATTATTGCTACTACTGTCCTCTCACTGTCTTCTCCACTGCTTGGCACCATACTGGAGGCCCAGCCTCAGGCGCCCAGTGGTAAACCGTGTGATAAACTGTTCGTTCCCCTATGTGAAAGGGTTAATATCATGAAAGTGTTCCAAGATAATATAACTGCTGGACACCCGGGCATCAATAAGTCCACTGCCGTGATCACTAGATCATTTTGGTGGGATTCACTCAGGAAAGATGTAAAGGAGTATGTGCAGGCATGTTCTGTGTGTGCAGTTTCTAAGGTGACTCATGCACTTCCTTGTGGCCTGTTGCAGCCTCTTCCTGTTCCTGAGATTCCATGGTCCCACTTGTCCATGGACTTTATTGTTGAGCTTCCTAGCTCTGCTGGGTTCACTACTATTCTCATGGTTGTAGACCGATTTTCTAAGATGGCTCACTTCATTCCTCTCAAGAAGTTGCCATCTTCGCAAGATTTGGTCATAATTTTCATACGTGAAATTGTCCGTTTGCATGGCATCCCCCACAATATTGTGTCTGATAGGGGCTCTCAGTTTGTGTCCAGGTTCTGGAGGGCGTTCAGTAAACAATTGGGATTGATCTCTCCTTCTCCTCCTCCTACCATCCACAGACCAATGGTACAGCTGAGAGGGCTAACCAGTCATTAGAAGTTTATTTGCGTTGTTTTATTAATAGCACACAAGACAATTGGTCCGAACTACTCCCGTGGGCAGAGTTCGCTAGAAACAATGCTGTTCATGACTCCTCTGGGCACAGTCCATTTTTTGTCAATAATGGTAGGCATCCTACAGTTCTCCCTGCGGTATTTTCTGATACTGCCATTCCTGCTCTGGATGAGCGTCTGGCCTCCATTCGGGATACCTGGGTTAAGGTTCAAACTGCTCTAGGGGCTGCTGCTGAACGCTTCAAACATTTTGCTGATAAGCGTAGGGGTGCCAACCCGGTGTACCAAGTGGGGGACCGGGTTTGGTTGTCATCTCGCAACATCAAGCTTAAGGTCCCTAGCATGAAGTTTGCCCCCAGATTCCTTGGTCCCTATAGAGTGCTTCGTAGGATCAATCCAGTGTCTTACTCTCTGGCTTTTCCTGCATCTTTAGGGATTCCCAACACTTTTCATGTGTCCTTACTCAAACCTCTTGTCTGCAATAGATATACTGTTCCTTGTGTTCCTCCCCCTCCGGTGGTGGTGGATGGTCAGGAAGAGTATGAGGTATCTTCTATCGTGGATTATAGGTTTTCTCGGGGCACTTTACAGTACTTGGTTGTTTGGAAAGGTTACGGTCCTGCTGATCGTTCTTGGTTTTCGGCTCCTGACCTGCATGCGGGCCGTAAGATCCGCGCTTTTCATGCTAAATTTCCTCTCAAGCCTGGTCCTGTCTGCCCGGTGGGCGTTCTTCAGGTGGGGGGTAATGTCACGTATTTATCCGCTTATAGAAATGTGGTTAATGACATTTACTGTCCACACAGGAAAAGTTGTGCTGAGCAGCAACCTAATCCACAGAAGGGTTAATGCTGAGCAGCAATTATGCAAATGAAACCTGGTAACTGACTTTGGGGTCAAAGGCCGGTTACAGCCTATCAGAACTAAAGGAGGGGTATTTAGGCCCAGTTCTCAGCCTGCTCAGTGCCCTGTAGTGGTTTCCCTTGTGGTTGTCTGAGAGCGCGTTCCTGTTTATAGTTTTCTACCTGGTTTTTGACTTTGGCTTTGTTTATTGACTTCTCTATATTCTGGTATCCTGACTCCTGGCTTTCCTCATCGCTGTGTCCCTTTCTGTGTTCCTTGACCTCGGCTAGTATTTTTGACTATTCTTTGTACGCTAAATCCGGCCATTCTAAGGAACGGTAATACGTTACTTATTTGTCATCCGTACTGTACAGTTCTACGTGCTGGCAGGCTTATGCAATGTATGATCATATACTGTAACTAAACCCCCATTATATTTTTTTGCCTAGATTAGGTGTTTTTAATAAAACTGAAAATTGTTTAGCATTAAAATGACTGTTTAGTAGATAAGCGAGTGCGCTGGATTTTCATTTTCACTGTACTTATTGGCCCCCAGCAGCACCCTAATTTAGCTTGTGTAGGTGAGTGCAGCCAAACCCTTATTTTCTCATATATGTATATATTTAGGAGTCTAGCCAGCTCCATGGGTTTTGCACCCCTCCCTGTTACAGGTGCCTCATCTCAGGATCCTATTTAAGCATTGTACTGCAGAGATCTCGAGATGGAAGGATTTCCCCAAGTGAGAAGCTCATTTAGCAGACAGAGTAGGACCTGCCAAAGATGGGGTACATTGACGTTGTGGCAGGCTTATGCAATGTATGATCATATACTGTAACTAAACCCCCATTATATTTTTTTGCCTAGATTAGGTGTTTTTAATAAAACTGAAAATTGTTTAGCATTAAAATGACTGTTTAGTAGATAAGCGAGTGCGCTGGATTTTCATTTTCTACGTGCTGGATCAAACAGTAATCCTGACATTTGCAGAACTACAACTCCCATAATTCTCAACCTATTTTTTCATAGAATTATGGGAGTTGTAGTTCAGCAACATCTGGAGGGCTGGAGTTTGAGGAAGCCTGCTCTAAGGTAATTCAAATGGTGGTATTTTAACACTTTCCATGCACTAATTCTACCACCAGTCTTTGTCAAACCTTTGGGTAGTTGTTTTTTTGTGTTATTTTCCTCTCACATTGTACTTTAGGCATGGATTTTTAGTTCCTGTTTTGTGTTACTGACAAAGAACACCACAATATGTGTTCAGTAACATCTCCCAGTACAACAGTGCCCCCATGTTTTATGGGTTTAAGCAAACTTACAAGGGTCAAATGTAGGGCTTTCCCCTTTTCCATGTTTGCACATTTGAATTTTGCCAGATTGGTTTGCTGGGCCTATGTTGCATTTGAGACCATATAGCAGCCCAGGAATGAAAATTAACCCCATCATGGCATACCATTTGTAAAAGTAGACTACCTAGGGTATTCAAAATGAGGTATGTTCAGTCTTTTTTAGTAGCCACTTAGCCACAAATGCCAAATTTAGCGTTTTTATTTTTTTTGTATAATTTTCACATAAACTGCAATTTTACTGGTGATTTCATCATCGTGATAAGTTTTACTGTTCTAAACACTCGTATTTGTGTTTAGCGAAGTCTCCTGAGTATAACAATACCCCCCATGTACAGGTTTTATGGTGTTTTGGAAAGTTACAGGGTTGTTATATGGCTTGTCCAATTCAATTTGCCAGATTGGTTTGCTGGGTCTGTGCCTTTTCAGACCATATGGGCGCCCAGGAATGTGAAATAGCCCCATCATGGCATACCATTTTCAAATGTAGACAACCCAGGGTATTTAAAATGGGGTATGTCCATTCTTTTGTAGTAGCCACTTAGTCACAAACGCTGGCCAAAGTTAGCGTTTTATTTGTTTTTTTTCATTTTCTTTACACAAAAACTGCACTTTTACTGGTGATTTCATCGTCATGATAAGTTTTACGGATTTATAACACTCATATTTGTGTTCTGCGAAGTCTCCCGAGTATAGCAATACCATCCATGTACAGGTTTTATTTTTTTTGTTTTTAAAGTTTCAGGGTCAATATAGGGCTTGCCCAATTCTGTTTGCTAGATTGGTTTGCTGGGTCTGTGTTGCATTTTGAGACCATGTGGTAGCCCAGGAATGTGAAATAACCCCATCATGGCATACCATTTTCACACCCACACACTTTTATTTCCAATATATTTGTAATATATTATAATTAAAGCAT